CAAATTTTTGAGATTTTCGATATTCTGAAAACGCGAACCGATAGAAAATCAAAAAATATACTAAGAGTTTTTTTACAACGCGAAAAAATGTATTATAACAGTTTTATAGCCTAAAAACTATTTTTGAAAACTATGGGCAGCACATAGGATAACAGGGGGGAATTTTTCGGCGTTTTGAATATTTTCGAAATTTTGAAAATGCAATTCGATAGAGGACCGAAAATAATACTAAGAGTTTTTTTACAGCCCAAAAAAAGCTTATTTAAAAATACTTTTATCATATAAAAAGTTTGAGTGCCCCCGGTTATTCCCCCGTTATCCTATGTGTACCTGATAAACGACACGGCACTGAGACTTCACTACAACGTTTCGCAAAAAAATTTGGTCTAAGCTATCGAAAAAACCGTCGCCCGTCGCTAACTGTTCGATCTCGACAGCTAAGACAATATTTTTTTTTGCCTTTAAAGAAACATCCAACTCTCAGTGTTTGATCAAGAAGCAAAAAACTTCGTCACGGGCGGGTGACGAGCCCAGGCCTTGTGCGCGGCAAGTCAACAGAAAACCAATGAGCCAACAGGCTGCTGGGCCTTTATCCACGTTTTCGAACCAGTCCCTGCTATCGCGTGGACCGTTTTATAAACTGGGAGGTGAACGTTTCTTTAAATGACTATTACTGTTCGATTTCCACTTCCTGTCCCGCGCTCTTGAGCGCTTCAAAGAATCTCTGCTAGCCCCGGCGATCCACAGTAATACTCCCTTTAAAGCCGCAAATACTGAATTTTTGACTCATCCCCCTTTGATCTATAATCTTTTTTGCAAAAGAATACCAAAGTGCCTGTATGAATTATAGATTCACCCAGAACGATCGGCTAGAAATTCTTTGTATCCTCTCAAATGCTGCTCTATTGGGTTTTTCTAGCCGTCACCGTCCCTTTAAATGCCGAAAAATTCGATAACCGTCTTGAATACCGTAATCTTCGTTTATACGATTTTTCCATGTTTTAGGGGACAATGTAGCCATGGGAAAGATCGATGCCCACGAGCTGGAGGTGCTGCGGGAGAAATGCAAGCTATTTTTTTAGATTGATAAAAGGGGAAATCTGCGTACACGAGAGAGAGGCGCTGTGACAGGAGGGAATTTCGTGTTTACAGGTCTAAAGGGAGTGTGACAGTAAGAAGACGGATTCTGACTTCTAAAGGGAGTGTGACAGCCACTTTTTCAGCCGTTGCTTCTTCAACAAACCGGAAGATTTCATCGGAGAGCTTGTGTCTACCTCAGACCGTCGATACAGTGATCCCGAAGTGCGCGACTTTTTCCAGAAGGTTTTGAAGAAGGATGGTGTTTTGGTAAGTCTATTTTTGAGGTGTTACCGTCCCTTTAAAGAAACATTCGACTCCTAATTTTCTAAATTCGGGCCACGCTATAGTGGGGCCTGTTTCCTAAAGCGTGGATTCGGCCTCGTGGGGGGAAGAGGACCTGTCCTTTTCCGAACCCCACGAGCTGTTGGCCGATTGGTTTTGTGTTCGCTCGCCGCCCGCAGGGCTCCGAGTTCGACCCCCGAACGCGTCAGGACTTTTTGCTTTGCATCAAAAGCTTTGAGTTGAATGTTTCTGTCAGGATAGCCAGTTGTCATTACTTTTAGAGCCATATTAAAGCTACTTAACTGTCTATAAAACCGGATCAAGATAAAGGTCTTTTACTACGTTTCGATACCTAAAATATCACTTTTACTCCAGTTAATCCAAATGATCGATGAGAACGGTGGCCGGCTCTTCTCATCGGAAGTCGTCAAAGCATTGTGGTCATTGTGGAGGCAGAGTACGTTCTTTTGTTGTCTTTAATTTACCGTTAACCCTGTGGATACCCCGTAAAATTTACCGCATCAGACCTACGGAACGCACACATGCTGTATTTCGTTGCGTAATCTTTTAAACCGGACTTAAAAGGGACTTATGCGTTGCGTGTCGCGATCGCGACAAAATCGGTTTAGATTCCACAGCCAGCAAATCCTGCCTTGTCCGTCCCTTTAAAATGTCTAAATCTGGGGCTTTAGGCGGAGCAAGGAAACCGGTCCAAGACCAGAAGCCGCCCAAAAAACTGACCGCCATCGACGAGGGCGATGAGGAGACGTTCAAGGCAATCCATTAGGCCATCAAAACCCAGAAAAATCTATTATCTTGCCGTGTGCCTAATTCAATTTTATATTTTTCAATCGCTATTTCCGATTTTTCTCATGAGATTATCGTATTTTGTGATGAAATAAACTTCTTCAAAATCGATGCAAATTTCTATGGATTTAAAAAGTTTATAAACTTTGAATTCTTTTTGATTGATTTTTCGTGTTTCTTCATCTCCTATGTTTTGATTAGATGTCGACGCTGATCGAATTCGGGCAGAGCGTCGTCAAGGCGGCCAGCCTCGAGAAGAAGTTCGACATCGATTCCGTCGACAGGTATATTTATCGTTAAGGCCGAATTAAAGGGACGTGGAAGGCAATGCTATCTAGTTTTCATGGATTGCCGGGGTTGCGACACGCGACACGACACGCAGCGCCGCCGCTGTCGATTAGGCCATGAAAATGCGATCGTGTTGTGTGTCGCGATCGCGAAAAAATCGATGAGGAATCAGCTTTTGGCTATGAATTTTCTTTGAACGTTTCCGCGCGCGCGCACACGCAACGCACGGACCGCTAAGCTGCAGAAAGGGAATAACCGATTACGCAATAAAAACACCGGCGCGATGGCGGCAAAATATACATGAGATGCATAGCTAACTTAGGATATCCCTGCACGTCCCTTTAAAATCGCCTAATTCTTGCAGCGAATCTCTGCTGGCTGATACTAAAAAAACTAAAAAGACTAAAAACTAAACGTGTCGCGGTCGCGTCCACAAGGAATCCACAGACTTCCTTGCTCGTCCCCTTAATGTTCCCTTAATGCCCCTATAATCGAAACCTTTTAGATTAAAATACCGCTACACAAATTGGATGATCATCGGCGCGTCGGTGTTCATCTTCGGCAAGAATTACGTGGGCGAGTCGGTGAATTGCTGGGCGAATAATGAGATATTGGTGAGCCCGGGGAGGGGGGTACTGGCCTGTTAGCGGGGGTGAGGTTAGCTAGCTTTGCACACCGGTTTCTTCTACGGAAACCGCATAAAAATTACTAAAATTTCGATTTTGTCTAAAAATTGTCAGAAAACGAAAAAATTTTGATATTTGGATATTTAAAAATCTTTTTTACGATTCGGTAATTAAAAACCGCAAAAAAACCTGAAAATATCAACATTCATTTGCATAATTTTCAGGGCGCCTGGGAAGAATATATCGAAACCTATTGCCTAATCGAAAACACGTATTTTGTGCCGATGAATGACAGCAATTTACCCGTGCAGGGGCAAAGGTCAGATTAAAAGAATTTATGTCATTCTGTCGTAAAATAAAAATATCGGCATTGAAATTCAATGGTACTGGACTATTAGCGGGGGGGGGCAAATGCAAAATTAACAACATTTGGAAAATTGTGGTTTTCGCTTCAAAATGCATGAAAATCGCAAAAAAGGTAACAATTTTGACAATTCAAAAATTCTTTAGGATGGTTTTTATGGCTATCCAGCAATTAAAAAAACTGCTAAAAAGACTATTAAAATATATTTTAAATAGCATAGGTGGTTTAAGGAAGAAAATAAACTATAGCCCCCTCCCCCGCTAACAGTCTAGTACCGGAATCTCGGAAAAATTATTTGGACAAATTGATTTCTGGCATTCACGCCAAATTTTCGACGCTACGGTAGCAAATTGTCTAAAGGGATTGTGAAGGCAAAAATGCATACCCCGTCGATTCCAGACAAACGCACGAAATGGTGTACTATCAATGGGTACCATTTATATTACTTGGAATGAGCCTTTTTCTCTATCTACCCAGATATCTATGGACATCAATGCAAAAACGGCTAGGTATACAAATATCAATATAGGCTACGGTGGTTGGGCCATAATTTAGGGCTCGATCTCCCCAGCATTACCGATAATCTACGGAAATCAGCCTCGAAACTTGGCGATGAGGGAGTGGAAAAATTTCGCCTACAACTCCCCGAAATGGCTGATAAATATGGAGGTAAGCAAAGGCGACTTTTGTCCATAATTCCGATTTTTTTTGGTATAATTCCGAAGATACTCTGTCATTATCGGGGGGGGGGGGCGATTTTTTCTTAACAGCCCAGAAATGCCTTGTCATGAAACAGCAAGTATTTTAATAGGATTTTTAGCAAAATTTTACTATATTTCAAGTGGAAAAACCATATAAAGCATTTGAAAGGTGGCAATTTGTCGAAAATCGGTATTTTTGCTGGAAAATTCGAAATTTTTTGGTATTTTTAATAGAAATTTGCAATGTTTTTCCATTAGCACATCAAAAGTATCAAAAATCAAATAGTAGGCATTATGAAAATTCGGGTTAATTGTCAATTTCTCGAAAATAAAAAAATGTTATCGAAAATCTGCTTTTGTCGAAAATGATTTTGCAACGTTAAACTTAGTCAAAATTTCAATTTCCACACTTTAAAAGCAATAAATTTCGAAAAAATTGATTTTGGTATACGGATAGAAAAGAAATTGATTTTTCTCTACATTGTCGGCATTATGAGACTAGGAATTCTGTTTCTACAGTGACAAGCTAGCACTGATAATTGCGGAATTTCAGATCGATTCGGGAAACGACTCGCCTCGGCTTTGTTGATCACAAAGGTTCTGTCGATTGTGGTGATCGTCAGCGAGTTGGTGTTGTTGAATACGTGGGTGTGGCTTGGAAAGATTGGAAGTATCGATTTCAGGGTGCTCGGTTCGGAGTACCATTTCTGGGGTTTCGGTGTGTTGATGGATCTGTTAAATGGAAGGGAATGGCATACGAGTGGACATTTTCCAAGGGTAGGTGGATATTAACGGAATGGTGACAGGCAAAAAAACGGCGTCAGGCGTTGCGGTCGCGTCGCGTTTAGCGTTGCAGAGCCGCAACGCATCCGCACGCGTTTCCTCTAGGCGAGGACTTACCGCCCGCGTCAGTAACGCGTCAAAAAGGCCATTACAGCCGACTTTTCGGCCAGTCACCTCAAATAACCTGAGCTTTAGGTGACGTTTTGCGACGTCGAGGTGCGCCAAATGGGGGGTATCATCCAGAATTGGACATTCCAATGTGTTTTGCATGTAAGTATCTCACTCGCCCTCACTCTCTCTCTCTCTCTCTCTCTCTCTCTCTCTCCCTGTATCATCACCGTCTAGGTGAACATGTTCAACGAGAAGATTTTCATCTTCTTGTGGTGGTGGATGATGTTCCTCTTGGTCGTCTCTCTGTCAAACCTCCTCTCCTGGATTGTGCGCGTCACCAACGGGGACGGCAATATCGGCTTTGTCAAGGAGATTTTGGTAGGTCGGCTTGAAAGGACGTTATCAAGGCATGACCCCGGTTTTCGTTCAAGGATTATCCTTGCTGGATTGCTGCATCGGGCGCCGTGACAGGAAGAAATCGAATTTCAGAGTTATAACGACGTGTCGGACAGCGACAATGACAAGAATATGGTCACCGAATTTGTGCACGACGTGCTGAAGAGTGACGGCTGTTTGGTGCTTCGGCTTATCGCCGAGAACGCTACCACTTTTAAGGTATCTTTTTTCCAAGATTTCTTATTTTTCAGTAAAACTTTTTATGAAATTCCGTAAATTCAGGCAGCCGAGTATGTGAAGCCGTTCTGGGATAAATACCGACGAACGCACAGCCCAAGCATCTCCGATGACATGCCAAAGCCGAAACTCGTCGAAAGCGAACTATAAAAATATAAATTTTTAATTTTACTATAATCTGTGTGATAAACGACACGGCTCTGAGACTTCACTACTACGTTTCGCAAAAGCTGTCGAAAAAACTGTCGCTAACTGTTCGATCTCGACAGCTAAGGCAATATTTTTTTTGCCTTAAAAGAAACAGCCAACTCTCAGCGTTTGATCAAAAAGCAAAAACCTTCGTCACGGGCGGGTGGCCGGCCAGGCGTTGTGCGCGGCAAGTCAACACAAAACCAATGAGCCAACAGGCTGCTGGGCCTTTATCCACGTTTTCGAACCAGTCCCTACTATAGCGTGGACCGTTTTATAAACTGGGAGGTGAACGTTTCTTTAAATGTCTTTTACTGTTCGATTTCCGCTTACTGTCCCGCTCCCTTGAACGCTTCAAAGAATCTCTGCTAGACTGCCCTGCCATCTACCTCCATTCTCCCCTTAAAGTTTCAAATACTGAATTTTTGCTGCATCCCGCTTTGATCTATAATCTTTTTTCCAAAAGAATACCAAAGTGCCTGTATGAATTAAAGATTCACCCAGAACGATCGGCTAGAAATTCTTTGTATTTTCTCAAATGCTGCTCTATTGGATTTTTCTAGCCGTCAGCGTCCCTTTAAATGCCGAAAAATTCGATAACCGACTTGAATACCGTAATCTTCGTTTATACGATTTTTCCATGTTATAGGGGACAATGTAGCCATGGGAAAGATCGATGCTCACGAGCTCGAGGTGCTGCGGGAGAAATGCAAGCAATTTTTTTAGATTGATAAATGGGGAAATCAGCGTACGCGAGAGAGAGAGAGAGAGAGAGAGAGGAGAGAGAGAGAAAAGAGAGAGAGTGAGAGGTGAGGGCTCACAATTTTTTTATCAATTAAGGCTCAACACTTCCCGACGGATCGCACCGGAAAATGAAAGCCAGAGAGCCACCCACCGCGGTATGTGTGGCTTTCTCTCTCTCTCTCTCTCTCTCTCTCTCTTTCTCTCTCTTCTCTCTCTCTACATTTATTCAATCTTCCAGCAACAAATTCGAGACGGCCATGAAGGCACCGATGATTTTGGATGGGCCGTTGCACTAGCAGCCGATCAAACCGACAGGGTAGGTAATTGGTTTTTTCGCATTACCGGGGTCCAATTTCCCCTCATCATCCCTCCCCCGATAATGCAGAAGTACCACATATTTAAATATATACATTTTTAACCCTTAATATCCAGATCCTTTGCACCGGGATCCTCATTTCCAGTCATCACGTCGTGTCGGCCGGCCATTGCGTGTTGTGAGTTATTAAAAATAGCCCCCCACCCGTTAACGCAAAAGTACCGCCTTGTAATTCACCGTTACAGCGAAAAGAAAGAGCAAGTGTGGAACGAGGACAGGAAATGGATATTCCTCGGCGCCAAATGCCTTTTCGACAGTCCAATGTGCCGAATGGTCAGCAAAACGCGTCAGATTATCGAGGTACAAATTTTATAGGCTTTGAAAATCGTTTGTGTCGTCGAATTAGATATTAACAGATCCGTTCTGTCGCCACGACAAAAACATGGGCCAATCCTGATGGAAATGACGGTGATTTGGCGATAATCGAGCTGGCAAAACCGGTGGAATGGTTTGATGTGGTATGATTTTTTGGTGCTTTGGTATTATCGGGGGGAGCGAATTTTTCCGATATGATCTGTATTTTACATAATAATAAGTATTTAGTAGGATTTTTAGCAATAATATTTCAAGTGGAACACAAACAAAAAGTTCAGAAAAAATTTTTAATTGAGATTTTCGGCGAATAATGGATATTTTTCAATGAAAATTTTACTACACTACAATACTTAGTAGTTAATAACAGTTTAGAAACACTTCCTCTATCTCTATCGGGATTGGATCCTGAGAAAAGAAAAGTTGGTGTTCCCCAGATTGGTTTTCGTTCTTTCGCATTATCGGGGGGACCAGCTTTTTTTCTTAGGATCCAGCTTTCAAAATAACAATGATGGAGTGTTTCTAGACGGGTTTTTGACAATTCCTAAACGTGAAAACGTTCAAAAGTTTAATTAAAAAACCAGCGGGGGAGGAGCCGCTTCGCGACTCTCCCCCGCTGGATCCCGTCTAGGCCCTATTAATCGAGCGCCCTTCCACATAAAGTTACCTTGAAGAAAGAAAAACCCATCTTCCATGCAAACCTCTTTGTATTGACATGCGGCGCAAGCTCGAAATGCTAGTCTCGTTATTAGGCCTGCGGCGCATGTTTCATCGGCTAGCCTTGTCCTGCGGCCCAAGTTTGAAGGATTAGCTTCCTTTTTTTGGCCTGTGGCGCCAGCTTGAGCGGTTTGCTTCAAGATTAAGCCTGCGGCGCAATTTGAACGGTTACCTCCTTCTTTAAGCCTGCGGCGCTAGCTTCAATGGTTGGCTTTATTCCTTATCTGCGGCGCTAGCTTGCACGGCTAGCTTTGGTCTAAAGCCTGCGGTGCTAGCTTGTGCGGCTAGCTTCGTTCTGAAGCCTGCGGCGCTAGCTTGTGCGGCTAGCTTCGTTCCGAAGCCTGCGGCGCTAGCTTGTGCGGCTAGCTTCGTTCTGAAGCCTGCGGCGCTAGCTTGTGCGGCTAGCTTCGTTCTCAAGCCTGCGGCGCTAGCTTGTGCGGCTAGCTTCGTTCTGAAGCCTGCGGCGCTAGCTTGAGGGATTAGCCTGAATCTTTAGCCTGCGGCGCTAATTTCAGTGCCTGCATTAGCCTGCGAGGCAGTTTAGAGCGACTGACTTCAGAATAGCGCCTCCCTACAGGAAAATACACTTCGAAACATGCATTCCGAGCATAAAGCAAAAAAAATACAATAGCCGGGGATCGAACCCCCGATAGCAAGATTGGCAGGCTGACGCTCTAACCGCTATACCATGAAATGCTTGGGAGCGCGCGCGCAACACCCCTTGTATGCCCCGAGGTGACTGCCGGGAAAGGGGAGCAAAGGCAATCGGAGGCAGCTCCAATGAGGCAGCCAAACGCGCGAGTGCAACTGGCAAGAATGAGGAAATTTGTATTTTCTCGCATTATGCAAATTAGCCCTCAGGGACCTCCAAAAATGAATAAAACCGGCCTTAACTTTGTAAACTTGTATTTTATCGAAATTCTGAAAACGCCATCGGAAACAGAAGGGTCGATTCCCCCGGGTGACGGAGAATTAGGGCATTTTATGCACGGGAAGGCCCTCAAATCGGGCCTCGAAAGTGACATCCACACACACACACACACATACGCGACCAAATTATATAAGGTGGGATACCAAAAAAATATCGCTTTTTGACCAAAATGGTCGTTTTCCACAAAATTTCAAATTTTTCAGGGCGGCGTGGAAGCGGCTTGTCTTTTGCCGAGTAATTACGTCCTACCAGGGTATCAGCCAAAATTTCTTCAATGGGGCTACGGCGCGATTGTCGGTAGGCGACGATTTCTCTAAATTAATCTGGGTGAAGCTGCATATACCCCTCCCCCAGCCGGCTTCCACCTTTTTTCTCGGCCGCCCATTGATCTACAGTTGTGTAAAGTATACCAAAATGTTCGCCTTGATCTTGCGAGCATTTTGGTATACCTTATAGCCCTGCAGGCCAACGGGAAGCCGAGATACAGTGGGCGACGCTTGACTAGAGGCGGGGGGGGTAACCTGCTGTTCAACCTTTCTCTACCTTTTCCTTCAGACGGCCTGCAGAGTATGTCGCCAATTTTGAACATCCTCGGCAACGTTCGGCTGGAAAAGTGCTGGCATAGAAATAACGCGAGCTGGTACAACCCGCACGACGTCCTCTGCCCGGTTACGGCAAGCGTTCAGCAACGCGTTGGAGATGTAGGTCAAGAAAACAGCAGAAAAATACAAAAAGCCTCCAAAAGCATTGAAATAAGTTTATGAGTTCTTCAAAAATTACAAAAGACGCATTCATATCTTTGATTAGTAATAAACTATAAAAACACCATAAAAATACACTATAAAACGCTGAGGAATCGTCTAAACCTCTGCCCCCCGCTAACAGTACAGTACCTTCACAACTGAAAAATAGCCTAGAAAACTTCTAAGTCAAAAGCTCAAACCTCCCACATGTTTAGGGTGATTCCGGTTCCGGCCTCGAATACGTCGACCCCATTACCGGGTAGCTCTCATCGTCGGAACCCTGTCCTTCACCGACCCGGAAAATCCAGTGGTCAGCGTTCGAAAGCTTTCCTATAGTATTTTTTTAATTATTACTTATGACTTATTGTATAAATATTTAAACTTTAGATTAACAGCGCCTACTACACTGATCTACGGCGCTACACGAGGGCCATTTGTGAGGCAACCGGCGTTTGCTACATGCACAAAACATAATAAAGCCGGTCTTGAAAACTCAAAAGTCTGTTGAAATAAAGTTGTATTTTACGTATCTCGAACCTGGTCTATCAAAAAGTGGCAATCTACCAAAAAAAACCCCAAAAAAATTTTCATCCTCTCATCGATCTGTGAATTGAACGTGGTGACAGCCTGGAGCGTCCGCTACCGCTCTTCTGCCCTAAGCGGCCCACCAAGCCTTTCATCGCAAATTACCCACGTCTGAATCCAAGAAACAAATTCCTCAGTTATACCGATTATGCACTGACGATGTCGTTCTTATTGAGCATTGCCGTGTTGTTGCCACTGGCGTTAGGAAAAACTCGGGCCCGAATCGGCAATGTGGTATACGGTAGCGGATCCAGGTCCTGTAAGCAACATTTTGGACTGTATGATAAAGCCTTACTATTCTTCAACACTCACAGTTTTTCACAATAAAATGTATTTTATTGAGAAAAGTCAGTTGACGTCGACAGCACAGACATACACTCGACCACGTTGGTTCTCGACTTTTTGCTACATGCTTTACTCACTTCACTGTAGACAAAGCTTTCAACTCTTGATTGTGTTATTAAATAAAAATCCAGCAGCCAACAGAAAACTTTAGGAAATAAGACGGCGTTATGGACGACAAGGCAAAGTTTGCTTGTCCGGCTATGTTTTGTGCCTTCAAGAGCGAGTATACCACCACTTTACAACGCCATGTTCAAGCGCGTCACCCGGAGATCGAGCTGACAAAGAAAGAAGTGAAGAAGGACTTTGCATGCACCGAATGTGATAAGAAATATACTTCACAAAAACATCTGAGAGAGCATGAGCGGTTGAAGCATCAGGCCCCAGCGACTCAACAAGTATCATCAATATCGTGCTCGATGTGCTCATCCTCGTTCGCCACGCATCATGCTCTCGTGGAGCACTTTAAGGAGCATAACGAAAAGTAAAACAGTTATCTTTTGCGCACATTTTCAGATGCGAAAACGAAACCATCACGCTGGATTCGGAGGCCTTATTTAATGCCTGGATCAAGACGCTCGAACACGATACATTCTGCTCGTTTTCCATCCGCAGCTCGGTCCCTGGACAGCGAGCCTATAGGTGCAGCTATGCGGGCTTCGACATCAGGTCACCATTGGCAAAGGGCAGGCAGAGCTCTAAAGGAATCGCGTATTGCACTGCCTATATTAAAGTGAGCAAAACTCTATTATTATATTTGAATGCCAGGTGTCTGAACGGGCTGATGGGACAATCCTAGTAAAATATTGTTCGTTTCACCCCCACGAACCTGATGTGAAGGCGCTACGTTTGGCCGGCAGTTTGACCGAAGAAAAGATTATTAACCTATTGCGAATGGGTATGCGAACAAACTAAACTATTTAAATACTGTTCAGGACTTGGAAGTGACAAGAGCATCGAATCCCTACGTGCCCCTTTTGTGCCGGATTTGATCCGTGGAGAGAAGCCGAAATGCCAAGATTTTTATGTGACTCCACAGGACATTCAAGCAGTCCGCTCAAAGCACGATTTCGTTAAAGGACGCGCTCATCAAAATGATTTGCTCTCGATTATTGAGCGCGCAAAGTCGGACAGCTCGATCCTACATTTCACTCCACCTATCATGCTCCCGAGCGCAAACGGATTTTGCCTAGGTAAGGTTCGGAAGAAATAAAATTACCTGTTTTAGTCTACATCAATGACGTCCAACGTGGTTGGCTAAAAAAATATGGCGCGGGAGGTTGTGTGCTTGATGACACACACAATGTGACAAAATACACGTTGCGGCTTACTACTCTCATCGTACTGGATCCGCTGGGGCGTGGACTACCAGCCGCTTTTATGTTGTCTGCGCAGCTGCGTATCGATGACCTCGAACATCTGTTCAAGGCGATCCAGTATGTTCCTAAAATATTTCTTAACCTAAATCATTGAAGGGAGATCGACCCCGAATTCGAGCCAAAATGGTTTATGTCAGATGATGACACTTATTTTTGGAAAGCATTCCTTCGCGTATTTCCAAAATCAGCAGCCCAAAAACTGTTGTGTCGATGGCATCAACTTCAAACAGTTAAACGGAACCTAGGACGGCTCACCGAGGTCTGGAAAATTACAATACTTTACCCCTACCTAGAAAAGCCTGGCAAGGGTTGTGATGCAAGACATCCGAATGCTCTACTATCTCAACAGCCGTACAGCTTTCGAAGAGCAATTTGCTCACATCAAGCACATGCTGTCGCAAGGCGGAGAAGATGATTTCCTGAAATATTTTGAGGTAGGTCAAAGAACTAGAAAAAAGAACCTGTTTAGGAACGACATATGTCCCGTGTGGATGAATGGGCGTGTTGAGAACGTCTCACCGCTCCATTTACAACATCTATGGGAGCTGAGGCCTGGCATCGCCGACTGAAGGGAGAAGTTCTTGGCAGCAAGAAAACGGGCCGCGTCGACGCACTAATTGCCTCGCTGGCCGACTACCCGATGCGGTATTACACTCATCTGCTGGTCCAAGATGCGCGATACGCAGTGTCGGGTCGTCGACAGGAAGAAAATCTCCGCCGCCATCGTTCTGCCGTCAAGGAATATGCAGAAATTCCAATCGAGCTCATTAATGCGCACACTGTGGCTATTGTGCCGTCAAGCAAAGGAGATGGCGGCGTCTACGAAGTGCTTCAGATTGCCGAGTGCCAATGTCTAGTAAGTCAAACAACTATAAAAAATTTGCGCAATTATAGGCGTCGAAAAACCTGCACTGTCCATCTTGCCAGGCCTGTCCATACTCTTGGATCTGTGGATGCTTGTCTAGTACTGTCGCGGGCGTGAGCTGCAAACATATACACGCCGCCCATATCAAAAAACGTATGTAAAATCTAAAAAAATCTATTCTGGCTTTAGTAAACCTTTTGGCCCAATACGCTCCGGATGTCCTGCTTGATTCCAACAATTCCATTGATACGTAAGTTCCAACTAAAAAATGAATTATCGATTAGACCTGAACTCCAATGCCATGCTGCCTCCTCTTCTTCTGCTTCAGTCGAAGTGCCAGCTGAGGCCACGGAGCAGGAGCATAAGACAGCCGTAAACCAATGTAGCAACGTAAGTCGGTGCTAATGCAGTTAGGGGGGGGGGGGCAGTCCAAAATTGGTAGTAAGGTTACGAGGCGCTCCGCTTAAGCTACTTGGTTTTTGGCTTAAGCCTAGGCATAGCTTAGGTTTAACTAAGCCTAACTGAGGCTTAGGCGTAAGCCTAAGCCCAAGCTAAGCTTATCTTGAGCTTCAAATTGACTTACGAGGTCAAAATGGGGTCATTTATGGGTTAGCTTAGAATTAAGCTTAGCTTGGTCAAGCTAAGCTCAGGCTTCGTTTGTTTGAAGCTAAGCCTAGGCTTAGGCTTAGCTTAGCTTTTCCAGAGGCTTCGAGTTTAAAAAACGGCATTTGGAGCGTCTTGTAGTCAAAATCCAGACTGCCCCCCCCCAAGTGCATTAGCACCCGTAAGTCAAATCAATCGCTCTAAAAATTAATATAATATAGACCTTGACGGCGTTGCTGTTCACCATCCGTGCCTGTAAGAATACGAAGAAGGTGCATGAATTGAATGAGCTGCTCACACAAAAGATGCAGGAACTTATGCAAGAAGAGAAGCTCGATAAACTCGCTGTTGAGACTCGAAAAGCTGCACCGATTAGAGAAGCCAGCAAAAATTATCAAATGCAAAAGCGCACGGCTAGAAATGAATTCCTTGCCCAACAGCGCAAGCAGCAGGAATAATTGTTATTGTTTTGAATTGTTGATTTGTTACAGAATAAAGAGTTGAAAGCTTTGTCTACAGTGAAGTGAGTAAAGCATGTAGCAAAAAGTCGAGAACCAACGTGGTCGAGTGTATGTCTGTGCTGTCGACGTCCAACTGACTTTTTTCTCCAATAAAATACATTTTATTGTGAAAAACTGTGAAATGTTGAAGAATAGTAAGGCTTTATCATACAGTCCAAAATGTTGCTTGCTAAAACCTGGATCCGCTACCGTATACCACATTGCCGATTCGGGCCCGAGTTTTTCCTAACGCCAGTGTTGTTGCCATCGAAATAAATCTTTCTGAAAATCTGAACAAGAAAAATTACATCATCAACAGGTTACTTTACTATTTTTTTGTTTTTTTTTACTCAGGTGGCCAAGCTCCTTTTTACACCAACGTACTTGCAAAAGGGAAAAGTGGGGCTCCTACCGTACTGGTTTCCTTGCGATCCAAATGACGGTTGTCCGTACGGGAACGCCCCTTGTACGCTGCCGGACCAACCGGCGTGAGTTTTGCTTTTTGCTATTTTACCTTTTGTGCCCATTTCACTCGAATTATTAGCGTTCTCAAATCATCGCTTTTCTTTCAGATGAGTACCGTTACGCTTCTGCAGCACGACCCGGCCGTGCCACTGGACCGGACTGTGGACCCGCTGGCGACCGTTGCGGTAATGTCGGCTTTTCGAAACTTTTATTGTATTTTTCCAGCCCGTCCCGGACATCATGAACACGACCACAATGGACCCGAGGACCGCTTGCTACTACGGATACGTCAGTCGTCATCTTTTTTTATAGAATTCTATTTCAGGGATGCAACGATTTCGCCAAGCTCATTGGCCTGCTCACTGGAATCTTCTTGTGCGTTCTATTCTACCTGGTGGTCTACATGCTGTGGCGTAAGCGTTTTGAGGCATTCTAGTAGTCTTTTCTTTAGGCTGCTTCTGCACTCCTCACAAAAAATTCTATCTGAGGAAGGTCGCGCCTGATCAGCAGCGGCTGGTTGAGGAACAGCACCCGCACGAGTTGCCGGAGGTATTCCTTTTTTTAATCTTCTGATACGAAATACGCAAGGCCAATATTGTTCTTGAAGTTTTTGCCCGTTTGGAAAGTTCTTTTCTTCAGCGTTTTTTATGACATCCTTCTCTTTCCAGGCGTCGCCCATCAGGACCAGGGACTTCCCCACATTCATCACCACCAAGCACAACTCAGCCAGCAACCACAACGTCAACGGCAGCTACGCCGGTGACACAAGCAGCTCGAGCAACACCAACGAGCACGTCCATTCCACCACCTTCTTCGCCAACGACCCAAAAATGTAGTCACACGTGGTGATGGTCTGCAGTCTTTATTTCTAATTGTTCGAATATTGTCACGTTCACCTCCGTCCAATTTTGACGTGAATTAGTTTATGCACACTCTCGTTTATGTTGTTATGCACAAAACTTTATTTCTCCTACGTTTGTTTAATAAAATGAAAGTTATGGTTGTTGCGTAAATCCGATGATTGATTTTTCTAGCGTGGTTATTTGGGAGGGTAGGAAAACTTTGTAGGAAGCACTGTAATTGACACGGCCTTACACATTATACCGAATTTGAGGCTGGGGTGCGTCAAAAGAATCCAATCAGCATGCGCCCGTTAGAAAGCGTTGTGCATCGGATGTTTTTTTGGGGATTAGAATACTTTGTTGGAAGTTTTTACATCGACAATCATTATTTTTAGCCATATTAGAAACAATATTTTGATTTGCTTCTGCGCAGACGATATTTGAAAGCAGAAGCTTCAGAAGCAGCCCCATCAAGCACGCATCCGTTGGAAAAGCCGAACCCCATAGCCTAAACCGGGCGTTGGGGACCGTAGACCCCGACTTGTCCCCCTCTTCGCCTTTGTGGCAATGGGATATCCCCGATGTAAGTCGCTCTGTCCAGAGATTACGGCCCCTTAGCTAGCCACAGCCCCCTCGGGCACACTTCTCTTTTTATCTTTACGCACTTGAGACATGACGGCTCGTGGCCAGCGGCCAGGACTCACTCTTTCCTAACCAACCAGCCAATTGCTGCCGTTTAGCGATTTTGTCTATTTTCTTCTTCTGACTAGAAATTGGATAGGCTATAAAATATTATTCTAGCTGATGACTCTGCCGCGAATCGCGACGATTTGTGTGATTGGTGGATGTACGGCGATCCGGGAGAATGGGGCTTTGAAGAGTATCGAGTCTATTGAGGTATGTGTAACTCGATATTTATCATCTTTTCTCAATTTAAGAAGCCAAAAGGCCGCTAGGAATAGGGATTTCCTTGTGGATTTTCTTCTCGTAAGCCACAAACAATTGCCTAACCGTGTGTACCGACAGCGCTTATCAGCAATTGCGCCCCTACAAGGTACAGCTATTTATTTACAGGTTGATGCCCGATCGGAAGCCCCGGGAGAGCGCCTGAAAAGGATCGAAACAAAGACGATGGGTCCGCTTCAAATAGCCAGACGAGCCCCTTCGGTTATGAAGATGTCAAATGGATCGATTCTGGTTATCTTTGAAAATTGTTAATTTAGGAAAAACGTAGATATTGTTTTCAGGATTTGTTTGTGCTTTGACAGCTTGATCTTTGCTTTAATTGCATTCCAGGTTGCCGGTGGTTGTTCTGGGCCGGGGGCGCACGAGGGATCGATAGAAATTGTTTGCGGCACCAAGAGCACGTCATTCGATTCTCTTCTCCCACCGCATAGCTGTGCCGCATCTTCGTCGATTGATGTAATTGAATGCTGGCTTAAAATTTATAAAACCGATATTTAGCCTGACGAATTATTGATCGTGGGCGGCTATGATGGATTCGAATGCTTGAACCAAGTTTCGCTAGTGAATGTGGCCAACAATAAGGTATTTTGAAACAGAAATTAAATAATCGGCTTTAGCAATCCGTCACGAGACTCCCGACATTTGGCTCCCCGCTAAAGAATGGTGCGATGGTGAACGGTGGCAACGGGGAACTGCTAATTTTTGGAGGTTGGGATGGCACCAGGACGATGAAATCTATCTTTCGGTTTGTAACTATTTTTTAGAAAGCTTACTTTTACAGGATGAAGCTAGCGGAGAAAGACGCCAGCTTGGAGATGTGCGGCATTTTACCCCATCCATCTGAGGGCCACTCGGCAAACGGGCACCAAAATTCGGTGTTTATCGTCGGCGGATATGATGGATTTGCTGTCACGGATCGCATTGTTCGGTAGGTGCAAAGATTAATAGGCAAATCTCTCACTCAGATTTGATACCACCAACTCAACGGCTAAAGTTCTGGACGTGAAGCTGGAGGTGGCGCGTGAAAATCATACGGCTCAGGTATTTTGGGTTTTAAAACACAAGATTAAGATGTATTTAGATAATCGGCAACTATCTGGTCGTTTTGGGTGGCTGGGATGGGCATAATGCTTTGGATTCCATCGAGGTTAATGAAAATAATTTGCTTTGAATTTTTTCTAGTTATTCGAAATCCTGGGTGAAGAACCATTTCTGCGTCGTCTTTCCACGGGCTTGAAGCTAGCCGAGCCCCGAAACAGACCGGCTTCCCTCATTCTCTAATTCTCTCTCTCACTCACCCCTGCGGTTCCTCTGGTTTTTTTGTGCCTTTCATTCTCACACATTATCCGATTTCCATTTGGGTGCTAATTGTAGTCGATCGTGTATATTTATCGGGCTCGTTTTTCAGGTATGCCGCATGGCGCGTGACCTCCAATGGAATCCGATGTCAGACCGGAAGAGGCTGCCCGGAGCGCTGGGCCCTCACACAATTCGCGGTAAAAAAAGGGCCCTTTCCATTTAAATCGTGTTTAGTTCGCCCGATCTGCTACTCACCGAGCTAACGAGTCTCGATGAGCTGTCGTTTCCCAGCTCGTCTAGACGAATTCGGGTATAAACTTTTTCTTATTATTCATTCAACCTATTTTAGTACACATGTGTCGCCGTCTCCCAACGATACCTAATTGTCGGTACGTGTTCCGGCACTGTCTACGTCTTTAGCAGGTAGATAGAAATTTTGATGGTTTTGCAGAATTCCTAAACCAACAAAAAAATCGGTAAATCCTGATTTAGATACGCATCCCGCCATCGCTCAAAACTCGCTTCACTCCCAGTCAGCATTCTGACCATCCGCGATGGGTCCGTTAATAAGGTTTGATTTTTCGGTGTAATTTTTATGAATTATTTTCAGTTGCTGATTTCCCCCAGTGAAATGCATGTCGCAGTGGGAAGTGAAAGTGGCCGAATCTCGGTAGCCTCGCTTGGGCCCGCATCTGCAACCGCAAGCCCGGCTCCAGCGCTCGTTTATACAGGTAACGATGGCAAATTTAAAACTCTAAAAAGTTTTATGCAAGTAATGAACATCAACTTATGATACTCTAGAATCTTTAAAAAAGCAACGACCGCACATTAAAACTCTAAAACTTTTAAACTAATAACAACATCAACTTCTAAAACTAAACGCTTCATAAATAATCCAAGGACAAAACGCTTTTTTAGTTCCTGGAGACGTGCGCCGACCAGATCGAGTGACCGCACTTTGCTGGGCCGCTCAAGGCGATGTCCTATTTGCCGGCCATTTCACCGGTCGCGTGGTGCAGCACAAGATTTCGGTTTGAGATCAAGGTACCCTCGAAATTTGCTTAATTTTAGTCTCGCAGCCTCTTCCGCACCGTCTACGAGCAGGTCGCCCAATTCGATGGGCCGATTGTGCAGGTTGTGATTGCCACATTGAGTTATATTTTGAATTTCAGGTCAGCTACTCGATGGGTCGGCTTCTGATATCGGGCAACTCGTCGACATTTCTTGTGCCGTTGGATACGCGTGAATCTGTACAGGTGAATCATTTTAGTTTTTCCTGAGATTGTTTTTAGGTGGGGACAAAGGTGCGCAACGAGCTGATGGGTGGTTGTTTCGGCGGGCCCGATGGGGATGATGCTTTTATTATCGCTGCGAGGCCACACGGCCGCTTGTGGGAGGCGAATCTTGTCGGGACAGTTTATCGGTTGGTTATTTGATGTCAAAACACGTGCGGTCTAAACTTTTGACCAAATAGCTCCCATTTTAATTAGTGCGACTTGTTTGGGTAGCAAATTCACGCTACGTCCCTACTAACAAGGAGGGTTTTTTGTTGTTTTTGGAGTTTTATGGTGCGGTAGAGTCCTAGAAACCGCATCACGCATTTTTTAAAACTTAGTTGTCTCGTAGGTTTTTCGTTTTTCGTTTCAAAGAAAGGTTCAAAAATTGGACTTTGTGCGTCGGGCTACAACTATGACTCCAGTGTGACGCTTTATTCCCGTCCAAAATCCGCGAACACACACACAGTAGCAATCATAAAATAGACATTTGCATCGATGCAATAAGAGCCGGTCTCGAGTACATTGTAACATATTAGGGAGAGGGGGAGAGCTTGTAATTAACGTGTGGCTTCTTGAGCGGCGGGGCCTGGCTTGGGGAGCGACTATTTGGTGACTTCGATGGGCATGGGATGCTTGTGATAGTACTGCACCAGCGATTTCACCGAGCCGAACCAGTCGACGCCGTCGATCGACACCTCGGGCGCCATGGCACCGTCACGGCTTTGGAAGTCGAGGTGGCTAGAGTGAATATTGGAACGAGGATTTATTTGGCATTATGGGGGCGACAAATTTCTCCATTTTTCAGTTGTTCTCTGGCATTATCAGGGGGGGAGCTAACCTTTTACTTAGGGTGAAATTTTTCAAAAATGGATAGTGGAGGTGTCTCTAAATAGTTTTTCACTATTCCTAAACGTGAAAACCATTTGATTAAAAAATGTCTCAAGTAGACCTCCCGAACCCCCCCCATTTACCCCCAAAGACCCCCTTTTGACCCCCATCGCAACACCCACCAAAACCCCCCAACAGACACCCATGCCAACCCCCAATGGACCCCCCACTCGAACCCCCCATTCCAACCCCCAAAGACCCCCATTGGGAAAAATTCTGGCTATTTTAAATTAATGTTTTTAAGGTTTAAAATCGTTTCAGCCTTTTTCAACTTTTTTTTTCAACACCCCTGAAAACCCCCATCCGAACACCCTGCCCAACCCTCTTACCCTACCTCTCGCAACCCCCTATGACCCCCATCCAACCCCCACAAGTATGGGGGTAAATGGGGGGGGGGGGGTTCGGGAGGTCTAGTCTCAAGTATCAATTTTTGACCAAAATTTCGAAAAGGAGAAAGCTGTATAATTATTTTTTTACTAAAAACTATTGAAAACACATGCTATTAAGTTACCACCTATTTCGCGACTTATACAAAAAGTTCGGAGTTTCACGTTTAGGAATAGCAAAAACTGTGCAGAACCAGTTCTTCGATTTTTATGAGAAAAAATTCTCGATGGAAAGC